CCTGGATGCGGCGGCCGCGGCGGCCGTGGGGCTGTCCCGGGAGCGGGCCTTGGACTACTACGGGCTGTACGACGACCGCGGGCGCCCCTACAGCTACCCGGCCGTGTGCGAGGAAGACCTGATGCCCGAGGACGACCAGAGGGCCACCCGAAACCTCTTCATCGGGAACCTGGACCACAGCGTATCCGAGGTGGAGCTCCGACGGGCCTTCGAGAAGTACGGCATCATCGAGGAGGTGGTCATCAAGAGGCCTGCCCGGGGCCAGGGTGGTGCCTATGCCTTCCTCAAGTTTCAGAACCTGGACATGGCACACAGGGCCAAAGTGGCCATGTCCGGCCGGGTGATTGGCAGAAACCCTATAAAGATAGGCTACGGCAAGGCTAACCCCACCACCCGCCTCTGGGTGGGTGGCCTGGGACCCAACACCTCGCTGGCGGCCCTGGCCAGGGAATTCGATCGCTTTGGGAGCATCCGGACCATCGACCACGTCAAAGGAGACAGCTTTGCCTACATCCAGTACGAGAGCCTGGACGCAGCCCAAGCCGCCTGCGCTAAAATGAGGGGCTTTCCCTTGGGTGGTCCAGATCGCAGGCTCAGGGTGGATTTTGCCAAAGCGGAAGAGACTCGCTATCCCCAGCAGTACCAGCCCTCACCTCTCCCTGTGCACTATGAGCTGCTCACTGACGGGTATACGCGGCATCGAAACCTGGACGCTGACCTTAGGGTGCGGGATAGGACCCCTCCGCACCTGCTGTATTCAGACCGAGACCGGACCTTTTTGGAAGGGGACTGGACCAGCCTCAGTAAAAGTTCGGACCGCAGGAACAGCCTGGAGGGGTACAGCCGCTCAGTGCGCAGCCGGAGTGGTGAACGCTGGGGAGGAGATGGGGACCGGAGCGTAGCCAAGCCCTGGGAGGAGAGACGCAAGCGGAGGAGCCTCTCCAGTGACCGCGGAAGGACAGCCCACTCCCCTTATGAGGAACGGAGCAGGACCAAGGGTGGGGGGCAGCAGTCTGAGCGAGGCTCGGACCGCACCCCTGAGCGTAGCCGGAAGGAGACCCACTCCAGTGACGGGACCAAGGAGTCAGGCAGCAACTCCCTCAGCAACAGCCGGCATGCCGAGGAGAGGGGCCTCCACCACCACCACCACGAGCCTCCCGACTCTTCCCACGGGAAAAAGACCAGAGAGAGTGAACGCAATCATCGGACCACGGAGGCAGAGCCCAAGACTCTTGAAGAGCCAAAACACGAGACCAAAAAGCTAAAGACTCTTTCCGAGTATGCTCAGACGCTGCAGCTGGGTTGGAATGGGCTTCTAGTTTTGAAAAACAGCTGCTTTCCAACATCTATGCACATCCTAGAGGGGGACCAGGGAGTTATCAGCGGCCTCCTCAAAGACCACACTTCTGGCAGCAAGCTGACCCAGCTCAAGATCGCCCAGCGCCTTCGACTGGACCAGCCCAAGCTGGACGAGGTCACCCGCCGCATCAAGCAGGGGAGCCCTAACGGCTATGCAGTGCTCCTGGCCATCCAGTCCACCCCCAGTGGGCCTGGCACTGAAGGGGTGCCCACGGTGGAGCCAGGCCTACAGAGGCGGCTTCTCAGGAACCTGGTCTCCTACTTGAAACAGAAGCAGGCTGCGGGGGTGATCAGCCTGCCGGTGGGTGGGTCTAAGGGCAGAGACAGCACGGGCATGCTCTATGCCTTCCCGCCCTGTGACTTCTCACAGCAGTACCTCCAGTCAGCTCTGAGGACACTGGGCAAGCTGGAGGACGAACACATGGTGATCGTTATTGTCCGGGACACTGCCTAGCCCACCTGTTCCCTCCAGCCGCGCGCGTGTGTCACAGAAGCAGTTCTTTTACAAATCTGCTCCCTCCTCGACCTACCTTACTCCCTTGGTTTGAATTCTTGCTGGTTTGTTCTGGTTCATTGGGTGGCATCCTGTCCACCGCTAAAACTCAGTTCTCGGGTCTGGGGCTTTTTGTTTTTTACAAGAAGAAACTCCTATTATGTTTCCTGTGTATGAGATACTGTCTGCTGTATTCTGTATTTTTTTATTTTTATTTTTTTGACTAACTGTATGGAAAGTTGTCAGTAAAGCCTTTGTCGGGATGAATTTTTCATCCGACCATAGTCCTGGTTTAATCAGGTTTTTCTTCAAGACTGGACGACTTCCCTTGGTGCATGCGCTATGCCCATGTGTTCTGAAACCACTGCTTCTGAAAGTTGTGCCGCCTTTGTGGTGCGGCTCTTCATCTGTCAGGCCTCTGAGCACACTTGTCAGCCTTAGCCAGTGGCCCGCAGGCTGTGTGATGTGCCCCGCGGGCCCTGTTCCACCACCGAGCGCCCGTTAGACGAAGGGCTGGGCCTCAGATCTGTGCCAGCGGCTACAGGTAGTTTGTGGTTTTCCCTTGTCCTAAGGGTGTGCTTCAGTTTGCGCTGTGGCCATTGGACAGCACCCAGTCGTAAAGCCTGTTGGACAGGGGGTAGCTTTCAGTTTTGTAGTCGTGCATTTGGGGGGAGAACAGTGCAATATTGATGCAGAGGGGCCTTGTGCATGACCTGTCCAGGCCCCCCTCTGGATCAGTCTTTAGTCCTGATGTAGTCTAGCGTCTCCATATCAGAGGCAGCAGCCTGATTCCCAGGGGTCCCGGAGGCAAGATGTTGGCATTCAGGGTGCGAAGCAGCCTCACTTGGTTAACTCTTCCTTGTGCTTGTGATCTGGGGCTTTCTTTGGTCTTTCAGGGCTGTCAGTAGAGTGAGCCTGTGCCAGTCAGACCTAGAGCTCTGTGGCAAACAACCAACCCCCAACTGCAGGACTCAGTGCTGCAAGGGGATCCAGTGCCAGGAAGATGTCCTTGATGAGTGACATAGTGTTCCGTGCTCTTGATACACAGAGATGAGGTAAGGAAATAGATATTGTGTGTGTGTGTGTGTGTGTGAAAGAAGTCACAGTTGCTAAATAATAGGCTAGAGCCCAGAGCCACATCAGCTCTGGTAAGAAGGAAACAGATTTGAGGCATCCTCAGGCTGGGAGGGGAAGGTAGCCTAAGTAGTTTTGGGCTCTGCCTTTGCTGTCTCAAGTAGGAAGCTAGATGAAGCAACAGGTGTCTGCACAGATCACAGCCAGGCTCAGAGTGGGACAGCTGGAGTAGTCCAGACCAGTCAGGCCTAGAACGGGAACCCTGGTCGGAGGTTCTGGGCCACGCCCTCAGGCAGCACCGCCTGGGCTCGGAGATGGGCCTTGGAGGTTGTGTGGCAGTCATGCCAGTCTACAGACACAAAGTCTGGAGACCGGGCAAAACAGGGACTTTCCGCTCCCCAGGCTTGGCTGGTGTTCATGAGAAATGAAGCATGGCTTCTCAACCTGTGGGTCACAACCCCTCTGACAAACTATTGCCAGAAAATATTTACAATTCATAACAGTAGCAAAATTACAGTTATGAAGTAGCAAAGAAAGTAATGTGATGGTTGGGGACCACCACACCATGTCCCACTGTAGGAAGGTGGAGAACCGCTGCTCTAAAGCGTTGGTGAGAGCGTTAATGTATCTGCCTATGTCTGCTTGAGCTGTGGCCACTGCCTTGGGATTGGAGCAAGCCAGTCGGCCTGGTGCCCCAAACCACTTCAGGATTCTTTGTTATACCACAGAAACCAGAGCAGGCCTCCTCCTGAAGGCCTGTGGCAGTTCTTGTGGAACTTGAACAGTGTCACAGAACAGCTGTTGTAGCACGCTGGCTCCCCATCTTCTTCCTAACAAAGCGGTTTCATCACCCAAGTGTTCCCTTCCAGGCAGAGGGTACTAAGGCACCCCAGCCCAGCTTCATCAACCCCGCTCGGAAAGGGGCGCCTTTGGCTCCACTGATAACCACTGTTTCTTGGTGAAGAACCGCACCCCTTAAGAGTAGCAGTTCTGTGGCCTCAGCCAGCGCCGTCAGCACTAAGGAAGGTGGGTCAGGTGGCCAAGGCCTTGTTCGATTGTGACATTGTCTCCAGTGAGAAAGCTAACAACAGGTACCCAGGGCCCGAGGTGTTTCATGAAAGCAAAAAACATGAGCAGACAAAGCCCCCTGGTTGGTAGTGTCCTCATCGCCTGTGTCTTCCTCAGTGACTCAGGTTCTGAACCCTAGTAGAACAAGGAAAGTAGATGTTTTGGTCTCATGAAGCACATTCCTAAGGGAGTGTTGCCAAGTCAACCAGAATTGTGCTTTCCTATTAAATGTGCCCATCTCCACCTTGGGAGGCCTGTGGGTGCTCCCAGGAGCTCCTGGCAGATGAGCTGCATTAGTGGCAATGCAGTTTTTCCTGCTTTCTCTTCAGCGGCATTCAGTACCAGCCGTCAGACTTCTAACCAGTTAATGCCAAGGCATGAAGCAAATGAGTTGCTGAGGCCTCGGCTTTTAAAGGAGCAGGATGTACCTCTGTGGTACAGGGCATTTCATGTGACAGGTTGTGTTCCTGAGTGGAGCAGGCCCTACCTACCCCTGGAGAGTTCGCCATCGTGTGTTGTTTACTTTATACCCAGAGCACCCTTCTCGGTAAAGGGAGAGGTGTCTCTGTGGCTGTGTAATTAACGCCTATGTAACAGAAACCGAAGCTACCATTAGGGCAAAATCAGAGAGAGAAATTCATGTTTTAATATTTATTGTGGGAAGGGAAGCGATGGGATGAAGAAAACATGAGCCCCTGATACTTTGTTAGTCTTAGACCCATGAAGTTTTTCTCCATATCCACCCTGACCAAGCCTCAAGTACCCCTCAACTTGTAGGACTGAAAAAGACCAGAACGCTCCTTACGGGTCCCACACACGGTAACAGATGCAGCCCTACTCTACTCCTCCGCCCCTCTGTGCCCCATGTGTCCTCACAAGGCCTCCAGCAACTCCAGGCCAGGCTCACGTGACTAAACCACTGTCTGCCCTGGGGGCTTGCTATGGGGGAACTCTGGCCTGGCCAGAACTGGGAGGAGCTGGAGAGGGGCACCCCACTTCAGTAAAAGAAAACAAGGAAAGGCCATAAACAAAGACAGACTTGTAGTTTATTTTGTATTTTTTTTTTAAATAAATACACTTTACATTAAAGAAAAAGACCTTTGATTTGTAATTTCCACATTGGGAAGAAAGGGAAGGAAAAAAAAAAGACTTCTGAAAAACTGAATCACAAAGAGAAAGAGAGGGAGTGAATTTATACCCCTAAAGTTCTCAACTCCACAAAACCAAGGTCCACAACTGCTGCCTGGCCACCAGGGGAGGAAGTTAGGCATCTTCCCAAGAGCAGACCTCGCCTTCCATTCCCACTCTGGCACAAAGAAAACAAATTAACTTGACAGCGTATGAGGCAACAAAACAGGTTAAAAAATCATATATTATATTTATAATAAAATATTCTTAATCCTTATCAATTTAAGAAACCACGATTTTCCTCTTCATTTAAATACGTATGTAAAAATGCCTCTATGTTGTTCTGTAGACGTCATTTTCTTCCAAAGAAAATGAAGTGCAGGGATAGACTGGCGGGTAGAAGTTCAGACCCTCGGTTATAAATGCCTGTTGCTTTTTTTTTTTTCTTTTTAAAGTTTTATAAAAAACTATTTCTTGTTCTTTAAGTAAAGAACATTATACAAAGAAAATATATTGTGAAATACCCAGAGACATGTTTGTTTTTCCCGTGAGGAAAGCTATGTCCGTCCTAGGAGGAGGGGACACAAACTGGGGCCTAGTCCCTGTAGTCTGTGTGTGTGTGTGTGTGTGTGTGTGTGTGTGTGTGTGTGTGTGTGTTACTGTTTTTTAGAAGGGCCCTCAGATTCCAGGGAGACTCTAAATCACAGTCCTCTGAATGCAGGGTACACAGTGCCTTAACAGACAGCCCTGGGGGACAGCAAAAGGCAGGTTTTCTGAATTCATTCACTCAGTTTCTCTCGCCTGCCAAGATTCTCTTCCAAGTGGGGACTGGCACATCACTCATTCAGAGATAAGATGATGTCATCTTCCAAATCAGAGTTGTCCGAGCTGTCTG